GCTGCGCTAAAAACACTCGGCAAAAAAAAACACTCGGCAAAATAGGGGGTTTGCCGAGTGTAAAAAAAACACTTGGCAAAGAGTAGGTTTGTCGAGTGTAAAAAAAATACTCGGCAAAGAAATAAAATATTATTTTTGGAAAAAAGAAGGAGAAGAAAAAAAAATCGTTGCCGAGTGCTAGATCTACGACACTCGGCAAAGAAATATAAAATATTTTTTCTAGAAAAGAAGGAGAAGAAAAAAAATAAAAAAAATCTTTGCCGAGTGCTAGATTTGCAACACTCGGCAAAGAAATATAAAAAAAAATTCTGAAAAAATGAGAAGAAAAAAAATAAAAAAACCTTTGCCAAGTGCTAGATCTACAACACTTGGCAAAAAAAATTCCTCGAAATAAAAGACGCACACCGCCCCCTTGGTCACCCCGCACACCGCGCCCTCCGTCACCCCGCACGCCCCTCTCCCTCCTCCTCCTCCTCCGGCTCCCTCCCCTGCTCCCTCTCCGGCCTGGATCCAGCGCGGCCCCCTCCTCCTCCATCTCCTGTGCGGATCGAGCGCGCTCACTTCCTCTCCCACATCGAGCGACGCGCAGCCTCCACTGCCTCCCCACAGCGGCGCCGCTCGCCCTCTCTGCCCCCATAGTGGCGGTGGGCACCCTGGCAAGGAGGAGGCCCGGCCTCGATGAGGAGGTGCCCCAGCGGAGAGTGCCCTTGTGAGGAGCCTGGGCCCCGCGACGAGGAGCCCCGGCGGGTGCCCTGGCAAGGAGGATCCCCGGCGGCCCAGAGCTCGGATCCAGCCTCAGCTCTCTCTCCCTCCCCTCCCTCCCCACAGCGCCGCCCTCCAGCGGTGGATCCAGAGCTCCCGGTGGCGGATCCAGGGCGGTGGATCCAGAGCTCCCAGTGGTGGATCCAGAGCGGTGCCTCCTTCCTCCAGCGGCGGATCCAGGGCGGTGGCGCCCGTCGGCGGTGGATCCAGGGCGCCGGCGCCCCCCCAGTGGCGGATCCAGGGCGCTGGTGGATCCAACGAGCGGCGGTGGCGGGCCAGCGCCGGAGCGGCTGATGTTTTTTTTTATTTTTTTCTAAAAATGTTTGCCGAGTGTTTTTGGGGCACTCGGCAAAGTCTTCGTCGAGTGTCCGACGAAAAACACTCGGCAAAGTTAGTTTGCCGATGAAATTTTTGCCAAGTGCCCTTTATCGAGTGTTACACTCGGCAAACCCTTTGCCGAGTGTATTCATGGCTTTGCCGTGTGCCCTAGCTCCCGTTCCCGGTAGTGAACTAAGCTACGCATGAAATTGATGAATGTGATAACCAAGTGTTTGCAAATTTCAAAACATGCATTCAAGGAAAACTATCGATTTTAGGACCTCCACGCGCGTCAAATTCCTTTTAGAGAAGTGTCACGCTAAAAGGATCTAGATAGCTAGAGAGGGTGAATAACCTATGAGAATTTTCCCTACAAGGCACACCACTATATCAAAGTAGTTTGTACAAAATGAGATCCTAATAGAAACTATTTTGCCTTGCTCTATGACACCCAATGAAAGCCCCTACACAATTCTATTAGCAACCTGATTCTACTACTAAAACACTCAACCATACAAGGGCTAGCTCTACTCTAGTGTCCTAAACCAATAAGGCGACTAAACTAGTTATAGTACTCGCTAGTACTAACAACTAGAGCTAACTCTACACAAGAAAGCTACACAAGCAACAAGCATTACACAAGCTATATGAATGAAAGAATAGCACAAGTGTAAATTGCAAACCAAATCGGATAAGTGACAAAGAGATTTATCCTTGAGGTTCGGTTGCTTGCCGGTAACCAATGTCCTCGTTGTGGTAAGTCTCAAGGGATTGATTCGCGCGCTAACTAGCCTCTCAAGCTAGACCCACAACTTGAGTGCCGTAAGAATCAATTACAAAGAGCACTCCAACTAGCCATGAGTAATCCACTAGAGTTGCTCTTCACGATCTCCCACGGGGACAAGCACAAGAGCCCCTTACAACCGACTTGATCAGAGGTGGAAACAATCACCACAAGCTCTTGAATGATCCTCCAATCCACCGAGCTATCTAGGTGGCGACAATCAGCAAGATCGAGTAACAAAAAATTTGCAGCACAAATGATAAACTAGTGCCACTAGATGCAAAACAACTAAGCAAATACACTAGATCTCTCCTAATCTCACTTTGGATCAAGCAACAAGCAACGAGATGAGTCAGAGGTGTTCTTGAGAGCTCACAGAAGTGTTAGATCATTTGGAATGCCAAGAGAGGCCTCAAGAGGTCGTAGAGCCCCCCACAAAAAGTAGCCGTTGGGCTGGCTAGAAATAGATTTTGCGTGCCGAAAAAATCTGGTGCCCACCAGAGCATGCGGTCCTCAGATCGACGGCTGAGGTTAAATCTAGAATTTAAAATCCAAACCACAAACTCCGATGTCAACTCTAACGCACCACCAGATAAATCTGGTGATCGCGCACGCTCTCAGCCGGAGTCACACTTGCTATTTGAACTCCCAATGGCTATATGCATATCTCCAGTGATCTTCCGGTGCAGGCCACCAGACTAATCCAATGACCCCTAGAACCTCTCGGTGTAGCCACCCGAGAGCTCCAGGCTATCACTGGAAAACTTCGATGAGCACATTCAAAACCACCTCTAAATGAACAGTGTGCCTTCTTCATCCAGTTCTATCAAAAGAAAACCACCAGATAAATCTAGTGGCATAACCTAGCCCGCTGTTAACTCAGCACAGTGTACACTACGCGTTTCTCCGGTGACTCCCCATCAGGGGCACCAGATAATTCTGGTGAGTACAAAAATCCTGCACTATGGGTCTGTTTGGGATAGGTCCATAAACTCTGTCATGGAGCAACTCCACAAAAACATGAAGTTCTGGAGTACCTCTTTAGGTGTTATCTATAAATGGATCCAACCCTAAGTTGGTTTTGGTGATGTTCACCACATAATTAAAGGAGTAATGGCTTTTCTAAGGGGTGGGAAGTTTCCTACCTATTTTTTATAATTATAAATAGTTCCTGCAGGAGCAGGGGTACAAGGCCTCAATTCCAAGGGAAAAGCAAAAGTACATTAGTTGTGATTCTCTAACCAAACAATGAGGGAGCTCCTAATGCTTTCTTTGGCCTTGATGCAAACCAGGGCCAAGTCTTCTTTGAGGTTATGTTTCCATCTTCCAATTGAGCAGGTGCCATTATTGAAAATCACCATGTTTCTGGTGGTCCAAATATTCCAGTAGCCTATTATGAGGATCTCTTTGAAAATCCTAGTTGAGTGTTGACAACATATTAATTATCATGGGTGCACGAAAGACCAATGGGACCCCAACTCAAAAGGATGGCTTGGAAAGCTCAAAGTACTAGTTTAAATTCTTTTTATATTTTGAATTTGAGTTTAGGACAAGTCGTACTATTAAGGGGGGTAGGTATGCTAGGATGATCCAACTGCTCACATCTCTATACTCAAACATATAAAAAAACATCCAGGTTACACAAAAAGCCATATGCTTTTCACTATTATTCTTCTCTAGCCTGCGCAGAACCACTGTGCTTGGGCACGGCGCCTCCACATGTTATGAGCGAAGCCTTCGTGCACTGCCTGGTCGACCATTTTGTGGGAGTTGTGGGAAGTATTTATATCTCTCCCACACTCTACCTTCTACCTCATTCACTCCAATCCGACCAACACACCCCATCTCTCCTCCATTGATGCTCCCAACCACCTTTGTCCAAAGCTTTGTGCTTCCTTGAGTTGATTGGCTCCTAGAGAGAGTGGGAAAGCTAGAGAAGATCTAGATCCACCCATCTTGAGCACTTGGTGAAGCCCTAGCTGCACGGTGTGTTCATTACACACTAGGAGCTTGGGCTCCTAGCCAGCTAGAGGTTGCCCGGGTGCTCCCAATCGGTTGTGGTTGAGCACCGAGAAGTTTGTATTGCCCTTTGTGACTTAGTGGAACCCTTCAGCTCATTACATTGGTGGTGGGCTTGAGAAGAGGTGTGAGTTGAAAGAGACTCCATAGCCTTTGTAGCTTCCTCAAAAACATGGACGTAAGCAAGCTTTGGCGACGAGCAAAACCACGGGATAAATTATTGTATCTTGTGTGTTGTGCTTGTTGTTGTATATTACTTGTGTTTGAATTTGCTTTTTAGGGTTTACACCTTATCTACTCTCTCCATGAGTTCTAGGTGCAACCACTGTTTTGAGAAGTTCAGCACACTCCCAAGAAGGCTGGTATATCAATTGATCTAAAGCTCATACATTATATTTGCCCCCCCTCTAGGCCCTTGCTAGATCCTTTCACTCTCGAAACTCTACCTTTTTTCTAGAGCAAAGTTTGTGGGGGTTCCACCTATTTGGCTGAAAAAACATGAAGTAGAGCTGGAAAAACATGAAGCCAAGTAGTCCCAAACAGGTCCTAAATCACAATTTTCAGCAAGCGTCTCAAATCCACTAACTCCAATATGTTTCAACACGGACGTCTTCACCTTAGGCACTGATTTAGCTTTTCAGAAATATTTTTCACTTGCATTTCACCATGTCACTAAGTCCAATGCGTATCAAAGATAGTTCACACCTAGTGGCACTTAGATAACTGTGTTCCCCTATTAATAGTACTATATTTCCTAAACCTGACCATGCGCTCTATTGCATCTCGGCTGGCGAAATGAACCCCTAGCATATACCGCCTTCGGGCTTGTTTTCATCTCCTCTTCACTTCTCTCCAAATGTAAGCTTGTTCCATTTGGATTGATTACGTCCATTTCCTAGCCTTGCTCACAACCTTAGTGTGGACCCTAGCTCAATCACAACTTCATTGAAAGCGTTAGTCCACTAGTTGCCATTAAATTAATAAAATCAAACATAGGGCTTTTACACACTCGTTACACCCTTTTATGGGTGGAAAACAAACATTTGATCTTTAACCATACCTCTTTTATTATATAAGAGTACAATTAAGGGAATGTATATAGTTAGACAATTACATCTCAGAAAGGACTAGTATTCACTAGATATTCCGATCTCACTAAGTTGTGTGTGCATGAACTGGCGGTGGTAGCGATCGGTGGCTGTGTCCGAGAGCCTCGTAGAAGGCTCATCGCAATCGCCCTGTATACACTTTCTGACGGATGCAGGCCATCCCATGACCCATGCGTTTCTGGGTTTTCACATAGTTTGTATTCTCCACGTCCACATCTTACACCCGGGGACACACCATAGCGCCCTCCTCCACCGCAGCAAGCCACCAAGGGATATTCGATTCCTGATGAACCTCAGTCATTGCAATGTTAACGACAGTGTAAGCAAGAAAGTAATGTTTTTAGGCAACGTGTGTATTTATCTTAATTTCTAATTAAGGTTCTAAACAGTATCCATTGAAACCGACTATTTTGTTAACCTGGAGCTCAATGCAAGTGGCATGATGCTAATACTATTGATATCATATATATACTATGATTGCATCAGAGATATAAGATAAAACTTTTAGACTAATTTATCTTAGATCCCAAATGCAATTGGTCACTTCACTTTCTACTATGAAAAGTTGTGAGGTGAAATATTTTTGAAACGTTTGTAGAGACGGTAAAAAAAGATTTTAGAGGCCAAAAACCATGAATATATGTACTATGTTTTTTGTCCAAAAAAAATAGTAAAAGAGATATATTTGAGCTCACCGTATCGTTGCGGGGAAACAAAAACCTCCATAGTGGCTCCGTAGTAATCAGCATAGATGATGGTCACGCCGGGATGGAGCTTACGCAACTTCTCCAATTCCTCGATAAGAAGCTTGTTGTGGTACCATGCAAACTCGTTCAACTGTCTAATGCAACCTGTCCCTGGCTCGTAATCTTCTTTCTTGTCACTTTGGAATGTCAACAGATACATTGGGAGGCATCCAATCGGGAGATTCCCTGGAACCACCAAAGCCTTGGCTCCTAGCCCGATCAACTCCTGCAAAAACAAAAATTGGATGCATTTACATTGCTATCTGTACAATGTTAGTGATAACGTACGATGGATACAGAAGAACAAAATACTCACTGTGATAGATGAAGAGATTTTGGCGATAACAGGTGGAGCGAAAGTGACAACACTCTCGAAGGGAATTCTTCTTAGGTTGTAGTCATTGCCTCCAATTACTCCAACTATGATAAGGGATTGGTTCATCATGTCCGAGCAACCTGTGCAATATCAACATGGCTTTATTTTTCTGAATTAGCACGGAAGAGAAACTATGGTCATTTGATGGTGAGGTTACTAAATTCCATCCCAACACACATGTCAAATTAAGAGACGCGCGGCATGTTTTTAGAAAGAAAACATAGAATTATAGGCGGCGAAGAAGTAGCATATAGAAATTAGAAACAGCGACCTGAGAGATTGCCGGGGCAGAAGAGGTTGAGCATGTCCCGGAACCACTTCATCTCCATGTCGAGGTGCACTACGTTGCCCACGTCAAAACCCTTGTCCCGGAAGAAGTCCGGGCCGAGCGCCGTGGCGCCGCCCACCGCGAAGTTGGCCCCGTGCAAAAAGTCCTCGGCGCGCCGCCCGCTCAGGTAGGGCGGCACGAACGGAAGCCCGAGCGCCTTAGCTGCAGATTTATTTTGAATGAACCACAATGGTCGGTGGATGGATAGCAGTAGCAGGGGCATTGTGGCTGATGGCGTACGTACCGATGAAGTCGAGGACGATGCAGCCGTCGGTGAAGCGTCCGGTGGCGCGGTGGAAGAAGGTCTCGCCGTAGGGGAGCCGGAGCACGGGATCCGAGTCGTTCCTGTAGAAGAAGCGGTAGTTGCCCGTGTCCGCCAACGAGTCGCCAAAGCTGAACACGCGCGAGTAGCACGCTGATGCCGGCGCCGCCCCAACTAGCGCAGCAGCAGCCGCCGCCGCCACCACCATCGGGAACAGCAGCCGTCTTCCTCCTCCTCCTCCCCCGGAAAGAGAGGAAGCCATGGTTTCGTCTAATCCCGTCAGTTTCGTCGGCGCTGGAGACGGGCGCGGAAGAATGAAACTGAACAAGCGCGATGGCGGTTCTCTTGTCTTGTCGTAGGTAAACGTCAGGAGGACCAGCTAAGTGCATGCAAATTGAAACCGAAAGCCAAGGAATGAAGTTTCTCAGGTAGATTTTTTTTTTGAACAGAAGTTTCTCAGGTAGGTAAAGCGCAACACTCGTCCATTTGGAATTGGGCTTCGGGCGTCAGCGACACGGCGACAACTTGGGAGAAACTAGCTATAATACTACCTCCGTCCGTGAATATATAAACGGATTCATAGAATTATATAAGTCAAACTTTTTTATATTTAACCAAATTTAATTAGAGGAGCACAAATGTTTATGACAACGAATGAACATACTATAAAAATATATTTTATGATGTATTTAATTGGTTTCATAAATCTTTTTATTCTTTTCTATAGGCTCGTTGATAATTCTAGAAATTGGTTTATTCAGGGATGGAGGGAGTTAATTGTTATAGCTAGGTGGTAGGTAAGATATTATGACTTGTTTAGATATCATATAACAATAATTCATCCCTGCATTTTAAATTGTAATTGTTATAGCTAGATGGTAAGACATAGAGTTTTTGATACGCACTTCGATATACAATATATTTACATACATAATAGAAACTATGAATTAAAAAAGCTAAAATAAGTTACAATTTGGAATAGAGGAAATAAGCTACTAAAATTAGTTGAGATCTTGTTTGGATCCTCAAAAAGGCAGCTAATATCTTAGCTACCACCTAGCTATTAATTGCTATTAGCTGATTTCCTCTCGATTACGCGGCTAATAGTTAGCTGGTTGGTTCCAAATATCATCTTACTCACTTATTATTTGTATTGTTATAATTATACAGATTTTTTTCTGAAAAAATAAGGCGAGTTTCCTGCAATTTCCTGCGGTTGACCGCTTGTACTTCGTGCCTTGATTCTCAAGGACTTTTTAGCTGACCGGATATGTAGATATTCAAAGTAGACCTTTATTTGCTTCATTAATGATTTAGGGATTTTATATTACAGTATAGCATTTGCACTAGACAACTACATTCTTATGCATGAATGAGGCAATAGATTATGGGGACCTAAGAACTGTGTCGGGTCACTTTGCATGTTAGACTGTGCTTAGCTATATGGCTTAGTTTCACATCTAAAGACAATATCTTAGTGTATTCTTTTCTGAGGACTAGCTTGATGTTAGTATGATGGTCCTAATAAGGACTTGATGTTAGTATGAGGGTGTGTTTAGTTACCCCAAAATTCAAACTTTGGCACTATGCAAAAAGAAGATTTCCCATCACATCAAACTTGCGGTACATGCATGGAGTACTAAATGATGACGAAATCAAAAACTAATTGCACAGTTTGGTTGTACTTTGCGAGACGAACGTTTTAAGCCTAATTAGTCAACGATTGGACAATTATTACCAAATACAAACGAAATGCTACATTGTGCTACAGTGATTTTGCAACTGCCGATTCCGGGCACCTAAACGAGGCCTGAGTCTTTTAATCCTTAGGCAAGAACCGCAAGTGGGGTGTGATAAATTTACGTAAACTTAACATCTATGCTCCATTGTTCACAAAAAAAAAACATTTGTGCTCAATTAATTTTTGCAATCCCAAATCAACCTGCTCCTAGGCCATTCAGTCGTCACCTGAGGCGCAGTGGGTGCCTCCTCGCCTTATTCTAGGGCCTATTTGGTAGAGCTCCATCAGCTCTAGATTCACCAAGAACAGATTCAAATCCAGTTTTTCTTGCCAAACACTTTTTGATCCACCTGCTCCACCGTGGATCTAATCCACTAAAATGGTGGATTTGCCCTAGATTTACCAAATTGGTGGAGCAGCTTAAGGTTGCTCTGCTCCACCAAAACCAAGTTTGATAGAGTTGGAGAAAATTACCCATCGTGCCACTCAAAAAACACACATTTGCTCCGAACGTTTCTTTCCTCCGCGCTAATCTACGCTCTTCCCCACCGCGGGCAGCGAGCCTGCAGCCGCGCCCACCGAAGCTCAGGCCATGAGATTCACGCGTTGCGGGCTCTACCGCGCACGCCCACGCGAGGACGCGAGCTCCGCCGCCCGCACCTGCCCACGCGAGGGCATGAGCTCCTCCGTCCGCCGGGGGACCGCGAGCAGTCCACGCCCGCCTGCGCGAGTATGTTGCGCCCGCCCAAGCGAGCTCTACCGCCCGCGCCTGCCCACGTGAGGCCACGAGCTCCTTCACCCGCCGTTAAGGCCACGCACGCCCGCGCGAGTCTGCGAGCCACGAGCAGGACGCGAGCTCTGCCTCCTCAGCCCCACTGCGGGAAGAACAAAGAGATGGAGATCTGACGCGTGGGGCTCAAGTGGTGATGAGATAGAGAGAGAGAGAGGGAGATTGATCTAGGTGAATCCCATATCCAGATTCCCTTTTTTTTCAACGGTGAAGCTCTACCAAACAGGCCATGCGTCTAGCCAACTCAGTGGCTAGGTCTAGGCTTAGGGATCCGCCTTCAGCAGTAGTAACACTACCAGGGGCCACACCGGTGGCAGTTACAGTCTGCGTCAAGCGCTCTGTAACGCTACGGCTAGCTGCGCGCTAGCTCGCCTTCTTCCCTGCAATTTGAAACCTGACCTTCCGTGGTTGTGGGAGGGCTTCTTGCTGCTGCAGCATCCTACTGTGCCTCAAGCATAGGTCACAGTGTGCCCTGTGATCTGTGCAGCGGCATTGTATCTTCGGAAACACACCTCACGATCTCGGCAGTAGAGGGCGTGAATCTGTTTTTTTGGGACAACGCCTTGTGCGTGTCTTGCCTTGTGACTACTTCGTATACACCAGCTGTAAGATTGATTTAACTTTCTTCCATATTTGTTGCAATTCTATTCTAGGCACTTTATTTATTGTACCATGTAAGAGATGAATTGTAAGGATGGTAGGATATGATTGCTCAATGATGATTAAATCTCATACAAAGGCCGGACTAGCCATAGATTACATTGTAGAGTTAACTTAAATATTTTGGGCAAGTGATCTGAATTCAATAGAACTACTAGTTGTATTGATTGCATTGAATTCCTATAGGTGTATGTTTTTTTTTTGAAATTTTAAGAGCAACCATGTAGTATACTTGCTGCTAAGTAAACAACCTATTGGCTGTGCTTATTTACTTTAATACTCATTGTCATATGGTTGTGCTTTTATACAATCTCTACAGACTCTGCTATTGAAATATTTCAGATCTTACACTCACTTTCGATATATGTTGAGCTAATTCGGCCAATGAAGTGTTTACTTTGGGCTTGTAAGGGTGCATTACCTAGTAGTCCTGGGCCGACTAAGAACTTAATCTGAGAGCAAGTTATGATAAATCTGAACACTTGTAGATTTTTATCAAGTGTTTTACCTACATGTTCATGGCTATGGCATACTCTTTTTATGAAATATGAGTTATATAGATTTTTTTCTATATCAAAGTTTAAATGCTCATCTTAATAAATTATCCTATGTGTATGACATAACTTGACAAATATTTAATTTTGGAATATTGCAATGCATGTTTGCTAAATTGAGCCAATTTGTACAACAATAAAAAACAGATTATTCGTTAAAAATGGCTGGTCCATCAAACACTATTAAACCTGAAAAGTTAGTCAATGCTGATATTGATGTGATAGCTGAGGTGTTGGGAACACTCCATTTTGATGAGTCATGATCTCCCAACTCTCAAGGAATATTCGATTGGGATATGGTGGATCTAGTTGATAATCTGGAGAGGGTGATTCCTCTAATCCCAAACCCACTAAGAGCCTGGTTAGTTCTTAACTTAAATAATGTTCTACTCTAAAAAAAACTTAGATAATGTTCCTAAGAATGCCACAAAGGTAGAGTAACCCCGGGTGATTCCTGAGCAGCACTATATGTCATATTCCAAAGCTATGAATATCACAAGTGTAAATGACCACTTTGAAGCTGATGCGAGGAGGGTTCAGGCTACTATTCTTCTTGAAGGACAAGCTGAGGAGTTGAAACACTGTTAAACTGGCCATCCACACACATAGCAGATGATGTGTTCTTTGTTTTTCTTAAAGAAATGATGTGGAGCATGGGGAAAAAACTTCTTTTCTTCCTTGTTTTTCTTCTTCTTCCTATGACGCCTGCCCTTCTTGCCATTAGAGAGATTCCCAGCAGCTTGTCCTTCAAGAAGAGCAGCAGCCTGAACCCTCCTAGCATCAACTTCAAAGTGGTCATTCACACTTGTGATATTCATAGCTTTGGAATATGCCATATGCCCGCCCTATTCGCTTGAGCTTACTCAGAATTACTTTTCAGCCATGGAATAGTGTTTTTCTCTCACAATATTTCAGCGTAAGCATCAGCATAAGCCAAATTTCAGTATCAGCGAAGAGGGTGTAGGGCTGCTCAGGAATCACCCGATGTTGTCCTACCACCGTGACATTCTTACAAACATTATCTAAGTTAACAACCAGCCAGTCGGGCTCTTGAGTGAGTTTGGACTTAGAGAAATCACCCTCATGCAGCTTAAACCCCTCCAGTTTATCAACTAGATCTACCATATCCCAATCAAATATTCCCTGAGATTTGGGAGATCCTGATTCATCAAAATGGAGGGTTCCGAACTCCTCAACTGTCACTTCAATATCAACGTTGGCTCACTTTTCAATTTCAGCAGGTTTAACATTGTTTGATGGACCAGCCATTTTTAACCTATAATTTGTTTTCTTATTATTGTACAAATTTGCTCAATTTAGCAAACACACATTGCAATATTCCAAAATTAAATATTTGTCAAGTCATGTCATACACATCAGATAATTTATTAACATGAGCATTTAAACTTTGATATACAAAAAGAGAATCTATATGACTCATGTTTCATAACAGAGTATGACATAGTCATGAACATGTAGGTAAAACACTAGATAAAAATCTACAAGTGTTTAGATTT